ATTTTTCAAGTTATACCATCTAGGTCTACAGTTTTGTAACATACCAACACACTTATCATTTCCTTTTCATCATTTTTTCTTTGGAATGCTAACATTAATAGCAATGTGATTGAGTCCATATTGCACTGATTGTGTCAGTTAGTTTTGTCTTTATGTTTTGTCTTTTGTCTTCATTTTTTTTTCCTTATGGTGATTTTTACCTGTTTTTTATTTCTTATCTGCCCACAGTTATATGTTTCAGATGGACGGCCAACATGTGAATTGACTAAATGATATTTGTTTCTGTTCCACTTATCACTTTCTGTTTTCTAAAGTATTCCTTCTAACGCTCTCTCACTTCATCTCACTTTCATTCCAAATCCATCTGCTCTATTATTTTTCCCATGTATTCTTTTAGGAGACTCCTTGCTAATCCTTCTTTGTCTATTCCCAAAACATTTGTTTTATTTGCATCAAAACTATTCTTCATTTTTTTCTGCATTTTTTAAAATCATGGAATCAAAAAATAGCAAGCAAGGATTGGAAGAGAACCTGGAGATCTTCTATCCACCCTCCCCCGCAAACCCATCAAGTTAAATGTCAATCTTTGCTTGCAAGCAGTTGATGGGATGTGAGCAACAGCATGTTTATTTGCAAATGGCTATTTAGATTAGAGGTCCCAACTTGCATAGAATAGGGTGAGAATACTTGGAATAAAACTGTCACTAGGCTTTGTTTGTGTTTATAGCATACTGGTCAAAATGTGCCCAAACTGACCAATAATATCATTACTCACAGAGACTTCTTTATGTGCTATAGGCTGGTAACCTAGACTACATCTTTATTTTATTTAAAAGCATGACTAAAGCTTTGGTATAAATTAAAGTCCTTCTTGAAGCTATTCAAGGACATTGTTCCCTGTAAATTTAAAGTGTGGAGTTTGAAGGGAAGCAAGTTGCGGGGGGGACGGGTGGGGGACGGACACTCTTTCAAAGGGGGAACAAGTGATCAGTCTCTCTGCTTATCTTGACCTATTGCTGCAGAACAGTAACATATTTCTCTTTTTTTCACAGTACAGGAATTGTGCTGGATGTAGCCAAATAGAGTGGAATACAAGAGGCAAACACCAATAAACATACTAAGTCTACTAAATTTAAAATAACCCTAAATCTGACCATGTGTTTCATGAAAAAGTTCCAAATTGCATTTGTGGTATGGATTCCCCAAGTGGTGACAATGCCTGCATTGTCGGATTTATAGTCTTTGCTCACTCTGAGGAATGGCAAACAGGATTGAGCAAAATGCCAACCCAGGGGAAAAAGAGAGAATATTGAAATATATACACGATTTCTGTGCTCACAGAATGGCTAATCAAAGTCAGCCACACCCCAAGGCAATTGGCTCACACCCAAGACAAGAGGATGACATGAAAGAGGAGTCCCAGACTTAAAAAAGGAAGTGGTAAGTGAATCACTTTCTGATTATTCAGGAAAATATTTAAGACAGAGCCTGGTGTGAACTGACATGTTAAAAGTCAGAACTGGAGAGGCAGATTTATCTTATTCTATCCTTATTTATTCCATCTCGTCCTTTTCTCCCATTTGCGTCTCCCCAGTTTTGCAGAAGTATTCAAGTATTTTGACAGGGTTTCATAAGCAGGGAGAAAGGGTTCATGCTTAACTTGAAAAGAGGATGCAGTTTAGGCCCAAACTCCTTTTATTGCTCCCACTGACTGGGTTCACTTGCTAAGCCCTGTCCTGACCCAGTTTAGTGTCAACAAGTGTACTAGAGATTGGACAAGTAAACAGTACTTAGAGCCTCTCTGTGTCATAGGTGCTGTGAATAAATGCTTATTTCAGTTCAGGAAAACTTGATGGCCTCTGGAATTATTAGCAAATTGCCACACCACACTGGCTTTTCCAGCTGAGATTTTTTTTTCACAGCAAAGTTTAAAACCAATCTGTAATTTGGCCTCACTATCTGCAGATTTAAAGTGCCTTCAGCAGGGCCCTGTCAACTTGTTTGTGAGTCTGGATCTCGTAAAGAGTTCTTTCGGAACTGAATTGACAGAGCATAAGTCAACCTGTGTTCCCTCTTCTTCTATTAGACTGACATTTGTTTTATGAATGACCATACAACCCTTTCCTCTTTCCAGAATGATAGGAAACTAATTTCCAAATGATCCCTCCGTGCAGCCGATGCATTTATCTAGATGTAATATAATTTGACCCTTTGCAAACATTTCTTCAGGATGCTTTGGAGATTTGCAAAGAAAGACTGACTTTTGAAACTATTGGTAAATTCATTGAGAAGTCTCAAAAGTTTTCTAATCATTATGGTGGGGTTTCTGTATGCCCTAAGATACCCATAATATACCCATTCTGATGGGTATATGAAATGTGTTGCCCCAAGGTAACCTGAGAGATTTGGATGACGATAAACATTTTTGTAATATACAAGCTAAATGGCATTTGAGGGTTTTAACCCCCGTGGACTGAATAAACCACTAGCTCAGAAGCAGATCATATGGCTCATCTCTCCAATGAGTTGTCACAAACAAGATACTCTGCCCAAAACAGGAGAAAAAGAGGGCAATTTGTTTCCCGGAGAGTTGGATGTTTTGGCTATTTGCACTGTGGCAATTCTGGTTTGTAGACTGTAGATTACCCATGATGTGGATGTGGCTGCATATACTCAGAGAACATCTACCTGATGTTCTGTAAAGGACTCAAATGTGAAATTTCTGACCTAGCAAAACTAATCCCTCAGATTGTGCATTATACTAAAGAACTGGAAAGTGAATGTGGCACCAGTTTTAAACAACCTAGCAGTAGATTCAAGTAATTATAAGCCAGTTGACTTAATGTTTGTAACAGGCTAACTGCACGACATGATCATCAAAAAAAAAAAAATCACCCAGAAATACAAAGGAAGGAAAATCTGCATGGGTTCTGCAAACAAATTGTTTCACCAATCTTCTGGAATTTTTAAGGACATGAAGAGTGGGTATGGATGAAGGTGACACTGTGTTTTTGAATATTCAAAAAGCCTTTGACAAAATTATTCACGCCCTTGAGTAAACTTAATAGTCAGGAGATAAGAGCATTAGGATTCTGTTAGGATTGGTGCTTTTTTTAGTTCATAATCTTGAAATAAGGGATAAACAGCAATATGGCCATGTTTATAAATAATAGCAAATTATTCAAGATGGTAAGACAAAATAATGACTGTAAAGAGATCCAAAACAAACGTTATGAATGGTCAAGAAAACAGCAGATTAATTTTCAGTGTATAATAGCACAGATTGGGAAAAAAAATCTTCTTATATGAACTAATGGGATTTAAGTTGTTTGTATGTACCCAGGAAAAATTTTGGGCCAATCACTCACTTTCAGTCCAACGCACTTCACAGGGTGGTTGTGAGGAAAAGAGGAGGAAATAGAACGCATTGCCTTGTAACAATAATGGCAAGCGGCAAAATAGATTCCTCAATTAAAATGTGAAGCAGGTATGTGGCTGCTGTGAAAAAAACTCAAATTCCATCCTAGGTTCATTAGGAAAACGAATATAAATAAAAATATCAACACTATAATGTCTTATTATAGATCTATGATACACCTGCATCTGGAATATTGGGCAGTTCTGTTTCTTGAATTGGGAAAGGATATATCAGAGCTAGAAAAAAATGAAACAAGCTACCAAAACAATCAGGGTGGTCAAACAATTACATTGTGAGAAAAGTCTGTAGTATTTGGGATCATTTTGTTTGCAAAAAAGGTGAGTGAAGGTAGACATATTCAAGATGTATACCTGACATGGAAAAAGTACAGAGGAAGAAGTATTTGATCCCTCTCAAAACATTGGGACCAGGAATCATCTAATGAAGTTGACTGAAAGATTTAGAATGGATAAAAAAAAGTATCTGCCACACTGATTTTACTACCGGTGGTTTTCATTGCTATAAGAAGTGGTCTAAACAGAACTGGATAAATTCATGGAGAACAAATTTATCAAGGACTGTTGTCCTTGAAGATGCAGTTTTCTCTTACAGGTGAGGTCAGCATTTGATAGATACCAGTTCTAAGAAAACAGTGGTATGAGTAAGGCATATTTCCACACCTTATTTGTGAGCACTTTAGACTAGAGCCTTCTGATTGTTTTAAGAAACAAAATGCCAGATTATTATGGACCTTGGCTTGATCTATTTTTCTATTTTGCACATCAGAAAATTCAATATTTGGAAGTATGCTTGAATCAGAATAAATAAAATTTTGCCAGCTTTCACCAGAGTCAAGCATTTCCTCGTCCTTACCTATAATTTTGTTGATAGTTTTGATGACTTCCAATTTTTTTATACCTAATGTTTATTTTCATTGATTAAAAAACAGAAAAAATGAAAAGAATACAGTACATACATGTAAATATATAGTACGACGTATCTAAATTAACTTATATTGTTAATATTTTTTCTATTGTATAAACTGTACACTAAAGTGAAAATTGAAATGATAATTCAAAATATGGAATTATCAAATCAAATCATAGATATATCAAAATTTAAAAATAAAAAAACCAGAAGGGTTATTGTAGCCCCTTTTTAGGAGATACTGCAACTTAAAAAAAGGAAAAAAATATTCAATCTTCCTTTGTTCTCTTTTTTCCTCCTCTTATGTAAACATTTTATAACATGCTTTAAACTTCTGGGATTATTGCTTATTTTAATTTAAATCTTTTTGATGATTTTTAAACATTTTTCTTCTGAAACCACACTCTGAGTATCTTAATTTTCCTTACTGTGTGTAATAGTTTCCAATTTCAGTTTAATATAATGCAAATGTTGAGTGCAAACAGCATGACTTTAGGAAGTGCAGACCGCTCTATACATTGAATAAAAACCCCAAGCATTTTAGTTCAAATGTTTGTGTACTTTACTCTTTGGGAGAAATCTCATTACGTATCAAAACATTTAAGAATGCAATTCACACTCATTAAAATCAACATTCATAACATTTGGCATTTAATCTTAGCATTGCGTTGAACCTAAATCAGAGACTACTTAAATAATAATCTGATGGGTGCAATTTATAACAAAACCTGAAGCTTGTCAAAACTGAGAAAATAAATCTGTTTTGTGATTTATAGATAAGAGAGACAGACAGACAGACTGTTCTAGGAAGCACATTGCAAAGGGAACAGAACTGCAGGAATAGGACATCTTTAGAATTTTATCAGTAACAGCAAAATTGCAGTAGACTATATCTAGTAAAGACTGTCTTAACTGAAGAGAGAGTTCTTGTAATTAGCTTTGAATTATGCATTAATACGGTCAGGATAGAGGTGGTATGTAACTCCATTAGTTGCTTGATGGAGTTATATAAATATTAGTTTTTATTATGAAAGCTAGTGGAATTTGGTCAGAACACAAGGGATAATAAACCCCATTGAATTAAATTGAATTTATTCAATGTATATATTGCCCATCTCACTACCAAGTCGCTCTGGGCAGCCCTCTTATTATAAGATGGATCCAAGTATCCTTCTTTAAGAAATATTTCAGCTTTAACATTGTCATATTGTCTTAGGTTATCATAATACTCCCTCCAAATGCAAAATGCTTGAAGACAGAGATGTGACAAATAGATTTGAAATTTTGAAGCTAGAAAAAACTTGATGTTGGTGTTCTAACTAAGTAACAAAGCAGTTTAGTAATCAGGATTTTAAATTGGTAAGACTTTTGGAGATTCCACAATAAGATAACTACTGAAGTATCATGATTTATAAGAATTTATCTTTAAGAAATCAAATATTACATTTTAAAAAGCAAGCCAACATACTTTTACCATCACATCATACCAACTAGGCTGTATTTCTGAATTTATTAGAAACAGCGGTCAGTACATCCTTCTAAAACATTACATTTAAATGTGCTTTATTGCAATCTTTATTGCATTTTTATTTTAAAGCAAAATAGGCCAGAATGCTTAGTGTCTGGAATTCCAAAGCTCAATCATCTATTTAAAAAAAATAAAAAACAAAGAAACATCATAGTACACTTGGTGACACATATGATGTTGCACTACTCATCTAGAAACTTCAATATTATTAACATACAACTGTTTTCTCCATGAAGCAGTTTTTTTTCAAAAGTTAAACAACATGAATTGGGCTACATCATAAAATGACAGAACAGGTTTTACATACCAACACGAATACCAAAGTTACATGCTGGAATTCATATTAAAAAGAATAAAAATAAAAACAATAGTTGTGGCTTCGTGAGAAGCAAATCTTTTGATAAAGAGTATCCATTAAGAGGAAAACCAAAATGTATTTCAAGAATGCAGTGCTTAGGTGTGAGATGTACAAAGGAATGCACATTCCTAGCATACTCCATTAAAATTAATAACAGTATATTCTTCGAGAAAATGATACTCTATTTATATCTAGATATATCTGTTTCCATATATTGCAATTAATGTTACAGCACTGCTCTCCTTTACACCCTATTTCTAGATGTGGCTTTCACTTTAAAAAATGCAAATATTACTTTATCTCAAAAGAGTTGAGGACTTGTAGAAAGCATTACAATTTTGCTTTATTTGAAGCGAGAGAAGACTCACTTTACTTTTTGTAGCGAGGGCAGTCAAAATATAATCCAGTTTCAGGCTAAATGGTTCCAGCAAGAGGTGGGCAATTTGGACTCTGTGGGGTAATGTCATGGCTAATGCGTATAAATGTATAGGTGAACCCATTTTCCATGTATATATACACGTAGCACACTTGCTCACATTCAAAACCACAAACAGAAAAGGTTGCAGAGCAATAGATGACATGGGGCTGAAAAGTGGCAAAACACAATTAATAGATTCATGTTTCTTTATAACCAGTCACCCCAAACTCAAATACTCTATACAGGTTGCTAAACTGGCACAGACAGCTGGGGTGAAGGGTACGGAGAATATTGTCCTTTAAAAATGCCTGGAAATAATTCTGTTTTCCTACCAATCTGTTACCTGCCTTAAAAAATGCTGCAAGGTGTTAACTGCAATCCTTCTACCTTTGTAGGCAGATTACCAAATCATGTGGAAAATCAAAGTAGACTTTAAATGACCCATTGTTTTATTTTTAGTGTTTCAGTTCTCTTCTGTCGAGCTCAGAGTTGCTTCTGTGCTATTTGCTGTGGAGCTCTTTAAATTATATTCTAAGTCACCAGGAGCTCTCTGTATCAAGACATGTTGCTGAAAACATAATAGAAAAAAAATTGCCTTAAAAACTATGGTGCCAGCCAAAATGGCAGTGCTTGAAATTTTTTTTAAAAGAAAAGTCAGATATGAGGGGAAGTAAAAATCATTTACGTTATCATTAAAATAATTCTTCTGCATATTTGCTATAGGTAGAAATATTCAAATCCTTTCCTCTTTTCCAGAATCTTACTGTATCTGTCAATCTAACAGTATGATCATTAAGAAAACAATTGATTCTTTGTATTTCAATGTAGCTTTTGCATTTTCAACAAAAACTTTGTAAAACCAACTAATATAAGATCAAGTGCCTGGATTGTGATCTATCCCATTGAAACAAGAAATTTAATCCCCAAAATTTGAATAACTTCTATATTTCTTTACATTTTCTCCAACATGAGGCTTTTAGTAGAATTTATCACGTTTCCTTGACATTAAATATCATCTGTAAAATACTGTTTTCTCTCATTCTCACTGAAATTTATTTCTGTTGTTTTAGTTTTGTGAGGGTGTTAATATTCCAAAGGAAGATAAGCTTTCCACACACACCCCAGCATTTCCATAGCATTAATTAACTGCCACTTCTATTTCATTGTCCCCCCCCCCCAACTGTGAGATAATGAAAGATTGCTAGACTAGTAAAAACATAGAATGGAAAAGAGGCACTATTCCAGGGGTGGGATTTTACCAGTTTGCACCTATTTGCTAGAACCGGTTGTTAACATTCTAAGCAGTTCGGAGAACCGGTTGTTAGAAGGAATTACTGGCCTAATCCTGTAAGGAAGGCAGGAAGGAAACATTCCGGTGTTGCTTACAGAAACTGCCTCGCCGTTAACCCTTATTACATTCTTGGCAGGACTACACTTCCTGTCTCAGGAACTTCTCTGGAGTTTTTTTCCTCTCCTTTGTTGGTACTTTGCTTGTGTGGAGTGACCATCCAAAGTTACAATGGCACTGAAAAAAGTGACCTCTGACCGTTTTTCACACTTATGACTTGCAGCATCCCCACAGTCATGAGACACCAGGCAAGGAGATGCGTGCCTCAATGTGAATGATATTGAGCTGGCCACACCCATCAACTAAGCCATGCCCACAGAACCGGTTCTTAAAAAAATTGAATCCCTCCCCCTGCACTATCAGTAATGAAGAATCTATCACTGGCAAAAAAATATAGCCACTAAAAGTATGCTGGAATAGAGTGGTAGCCTAAGTACAACAGCAACAAGGGCTGTAGAGCCCAACTTTTTGATGACACAGAATATTTTTCTTGACTTAAGCAATGAAGCAGCAAGAGGTGAGCTGCAGGAAGTATTGTGGCATACCTAAAGTTTCTATGAAGGTGGAGAAAAACCTGGGTTTGAAGAGAAGGACTGATGACTCAGGTATAAAGAAAAGGCAAAGATAGCAACACTGAGACTAATGGTGGCTCCTTATTCTTAATGTTGAATTTAGCATCTGCCTAATCATTCCAGAAAGAACAACACCATTATTTTGTTTTTTTAATCTAGCATTATGCCCTAACATATTTCCACTGTAGTGTTTGAAAACAATCCTATCTTTGAAGTAAGATCTTCGGTTTTGTTTTTGAACAAGAATAACTTTTACTATTAAAGTTACTGACAATCAAATCTACAGTTAATTTTGGCTAAATTTTAAGCAAATAGGGAGTTTCAAGAAATGCAAAGAATTATCCTTCCAATGGCAATTCTCTTTAAGGATAAAAAAAGACTGCATGTAAATTTACCTCATAAACTTATTCAAATATCCCAAACCATAAATCACTGATTTAAGAATTAAAGTGCCCCAATTAAAAAAAACAACCAATGGTTGACCATATATTCAAACGCTTGGCTATTACCACATATAACCTTTAACCTAAAAAAAGTTAGCCACAATACACACTACCACTTTAGCTTTTTATTCCCCGTTAACTGTAAATTTAAGATACACAAAATTTAAAACAAAAACAAACAAAAACCCCAATAACCATACATTTCATCAGGAAAAAAAAATCAAGTACCAAAAAGGGATTTTCCAAATTTGAAAAAAGAGCAAAAAAGCAAAATTGCTACATGAACAAACACTGAATTAAGTCCCTGTGTATCTTGTCAAGACTTTTCATAGTGAGTGCCAACGTTTATCCCCCAAGTCCGTAACATAGCACTAAACATGTCCCAATTTCTTTAAACAAACCACTGTATACCTATTCCAAGACAGATTGAATGACCTGCTCTATTCCTGAGATTATGCAGGTTGATGTCTTATAGCATTGATGTGGCTTCTTTTATTTTAATCCAAGTGCTACATTATATAAAAGAAATACAATATGACTGCAGAAATTGCATATAAATGAATTCAGTTTAGATGGATTTGATGGATGTAGCTGGAAATTGGAGTACTGTATCCCAGAATAATGTCACTTAGTCCATGATCCCAATGAATCCTATGGATGTGCAAGAAGTTGTAACAGTGGTAGTTTATATGACTTTTGAAAAACAAATATATGCAAGAGTACTTTCTGAGGCAGCGTAAGAGGGAATGGAGACACAAACAGCTCCAGTTTGCTCATACGAGCCCTTGTATATGTTTAAAATGGGTCTCTAGTTCATAAACTATTCATATGATTAAATGAATGGTTCAGGGTTCTGCTTAGGGCTAAGAGTGCAAAAGAGAAGTTATATCCTAGATGTTTTGTGAAACCTTCAATTAAATGTATGCATTAGTTCTTGTTAAGTACTACTGGCAAATAAATTAATTACCAGAAATACTGGCATTTCAATTGTTTTTAACCTGACCCACTGAGCATCACAGTAAATTTAGCAATTGCATAAAAGCTGAACTTGTGAGGAAACAAAATACTGCAAAATTCTCAATCAAAATGTGCTATATTAGACAACACTATTTCGTCCACCATTTAACACTGCAAAAACAAAGAATGGATCATCAAGATCAGCATTTTTTTAAAAAAATCATACTTTTTAACAACCCAAATATTTTTGTTTTCAGAAGCAAAGATCTTTTCTTTGCTTTGGATGTACACGTTCGTTCATAGATTTGACTTGTTGTTTTCTGTTCATTTCAGCTTTGCTGTTAGCCAGTGATGCTTGTAGGCAGCTAATCCTAACAATCAGCCAGGAGAATTAAGAATGCTGCCACTTGAGGTCAGCTAAGTCTCACTAATGTAAAAAAAAATATTGCAGTCAAGAACATTAAATCATGAACGCCTGCTGAAACTGCATGCAGATGGTAAAACATATTCTCTATCTATTTCAATTAGGTTTTAAATAGTGGAAAACAATAGAACCACATTCATAAATTGGATCAAAGTGGCTCCAGAGGTATACATGCAATAGATGTTTAAAGGAAGTGTACATTTCAGAATTTACTGAAATCAACAAATTCCAGTGAGTTTGAATGGGTAAACAAGGTGAAATTTATTCATAATAGTGGGAGTTGGTAGATTTTATACTGGCAATCCATTTTGTGTTTATATTTGAAATAGCAAGATTGATTATGGAAGGCCCAGAAAAGTTCCACTGATGTTGACATATGACTTTTGTAGCCTAACCGGTACTTGAAAAATGTGCAAGTGCCAGATGAGACCGAACAACCTGCCTGGCACCCAGAGGATCTCCATGCTATTTCTGAAAACTAGCACTTAACAGTAAGTAAGTAAGCTCGCTCTGCTGGTGAGTAAAAACAAAGTGTGGTGTCCAGGCTTTATTTAAGAGGATGGGAAAGGGTCATTCATTATCTTTGCAGAAGCCTAGGGATTACACAGCTACAGTTCTTTTCACAAAGAACTACAGTCAATCCAGTTTTTTTCTGAAGACACTACTGTAGCTCTTGGCTTAAATGGCAGTAGAATAGTGCAAATCAGAAGTGCTGTTGGGACATATTAAGCAGTCTACTTTGGCCCCTCCAGCTGATGATTAGAACTCAAGATCTTTCAATTCCTGTTCAGCAATTTCATATTCTGCATAATACATATGCTTTTTGTAGTGCATTCTGCTATATGTAAACATTTGTAACAGTCGGGGGGGGGGATCAAGATGTCATGAAAACAAGGAAAGACAGAAGAGGTTCATGTCCCAACCCCCTGGCATGCACTTTATGCTGAATTTGTTTGTTTCCCCCTTCTTTGTGTAATTGTTCTAGCTCAAGTATACAGAGAAGATTCAAGAAAATCATACATGGAGTGACAAAATGACAGCATTTTAGGAGCACAAATTCAGCACAAATTCTCACAGTCTAGTGGATCCAGTTCTCATTATTTGCTAATATTATTTGATGTTACACAGAATCTAGATGGATCTGATGACAGCAGAAAATTCTACCACTTTTATAGCTTGAGCAGTCTGACAAAATTCAGTTACCCAAATATTTGCTTGATGGTAAAACAATGAATTATAAAGATATGTATACAATCTGTGCAATGGAATTAATGATTTAGGGTGCAAGTCAAACATATTACAAATAAAATTACTGTAGCCAGTTTTAACAATATATAGACTGCACTCATAGGGATTTTTTTTTTTTGGTTTAGCAAGCCACTGAGAAGCAATCCATTGCACTTTTCAAGAATTTTTTTTTATAAAAACAAAATCAAACAATGTTTTCAAAACAGCAAAAATTATTAAGCATTTTAAAAAAACATGCCAAGAGCCCGCTTCATTCTGGTATACATTCCAAAGCTTAGTATCTTTTAAAAAGAACATCTGAAATAGTTATAAGAAAAGAAAAATGTTAAAAACTAATGGGGAAAAAGTGGTGCAGTTACATCAGGTCAGTTATAAAAATGACATGAGAAAGTTTTAGCTTTCATAATTTTCTCTTCAAGTTTTGGCAAGTGTGCGATTGCAAATGCAATTATCCCCATAAGTGCTCAGTCCAGCAATGAGAAAAGTTTTGTTGGATAAAGTTTGTTTGTTTTTTAATTTGAAGATCTGTAGTGCTGTTGAAACTGAAACTTTGTTATTGTTGGTAATATATAAAGCAACATTTCTTTGAGGATATTCTTTTAAGAATGAACCTGAAACTTCCCCCAAAATTCCTTTGGTCTCCTCTCACCAAATACCATGCTACATCAAGATGAGCCCTCATTTGTAAGTTATCTAACTTGCAGCAAAGTTGCTAAAATTAACATGGAAAAGCTTCTTTAGGTGAGCCTTTCTCCTATTTTTCTGGAGTTTAAGACAGAAAGACATTACCAATACCTCAGAAAAGAAAAATCCATGTAGAAATTCCATTGATGGTGCCAGGCAAAAATGTTTCTACAATTTTGCTCCAATGGATTTTTAAACACACAGTTTGAGAGAGTGTTCTTGTTCTTTTTGGGAAATCAAGAGGCAGTCTCCTTATGAACACAGCTGATCTTCAGGTAGCACTATGGTACCTATCCCGAAGCTGTTGCTGCTAAGTTTCCGATTCACATTCATCATATAACTTCTTGTGCAAAACGAGCAGTCTAAGGAGAAAGAATGCCCTCTGGGTTCTAATAAAAATTGTAGAAAAGAAATTCGAGATAACCAATGCTTCACCTATACTTCATCTTCCTAAAATTTATCTACAAAGGGAGGGCATCTGTGCGTAGACAGGATAAGCAAGACGGACATTTAGAGAGTCATTGTGTTGGACGAGAGAGGTATGCTGGTAATGCAGGACTAATTCTTTAAGGGTGCTGTATAGGTTATATGGCTCTGCAAACCCATAACCTCTTGGAGTGCTGTAGATCACACAGTGTTTAACTTCACCTTCAGTTCTGTTAAGGAAAAGAAACAATATTTAATGTGATAAGTCAGCTAGAAGATTACAATAAAAAAAAAGATTCAGAAATTAATGAACCACACATTAGCTCTGTAATTCAAACTATTTAAAAAATTTTTAGAACACTGAGACATCGATAATTTTAAGAAATGTGGAGCTGTATCTAAGAGATTACATGTATACTATTTCTACAAAAATAGTTTTGTTTTTAAGTAATAGAATTTAGACCAATAGAACTGAAGAATGAAATATTTTGTCAAAAAAAATGATGTGAGTGAGTTGAGTGGGAATGAAGAAAAACCCAGTTTTTAAAGAAAAACCACTTCAAATTCCAATTAATTGTATCACTTATTTCATTAAAAGATTTGTATTTTACTGTTTGCTTTAGTGATTTTTTAATTGTATTAAATAATAAGTTCACCAAAAAGAGAAACATTAGGGGAATTGTGACTGGGAAAGTCCATTATAAAAAGTCAAATTAAAATATGCTGGTTTGTATTTTTAAAAAGTTTTTAAGAACTAAAAGGAAAACATCCTTAAAGTAAAAAGCAGATAAGACTGAACCACTCCCAGTCTAAAGCAAGTTCCTCTAATATAGTTACAGTTTGCAAGTATGCCGAGAGCTTTTAGGTAATTCATAAAGCCAATACTTACACCACAGAACAAGCATAGCAGCCTTTCTTGCTACTTTCTCGAATTAAAAATGCTCCATCAGGTTTCCCGCAAAGCAAATCTTCTGCCTGGATGCGATTGATGTCTCCCACAAACCAAGTCTTTTCATCATAATGTGGCAGATTTTCATCTTCCTCATTCAGAAAATATGTACTAAGAAAACAACAAATCCTTTTTCCTTAATGCAGAGTTACTTTTTATAATAGGATCATTTATTCTTGAATAAAACAATATATACAAACATCAGCAAAACCTTGCCTTAAAAACAGCACCTAACACTACTACCATCAACTTTTGTTAGAAGCATAACAAAAACTGGAGAGTAGGTATCGGTCATCTCATATATAAATGTGCATGTATATAATTAAAATAAAGAAGCATTAGTTACATTTTTGTGTTATATTCTACATATGGTAAAATCCATTACAATAATAAACTTTACTTTTTTATGAAAGTATATAAAACAGAATATCAGTGTCATTTGGCTGTTCTTATGGATGGTCTTTGACTAAGAAAATATACATATTTATGTGGTGATGACATTATTCTAGCACAGATCTGTATGCACCTTTGCTAGGATTTTAAATACAATTTGATAGCAATATAACATTAAACAATGGCACTTACTCATCAACAGTTTCATTTTTGATCCCCAGCCATTCATTAATTCGTTTCTGCCTTACTCCTTTATGATTAAGCCAGCTGCCAAAGAGAGACAATACTAGTTATTAACTTTCTATAATGATTTGGATCATTCCATCAAATGCCTCTCCAAGATCCCAAGAATACTAGGCCTATTATTTTACCAATATAAATGGTTTTATTACAGAATTATGCCCAACAATAATGTTTTAAGAGTAGAAGACAGTTGTGCTTCTTTTGTCTGTGTGTACATTATATGGCATTTTCTTTCTTGGCAAAAACAGCTGATTATGGCATAGAAAATATTTGTGGTATGTAAAAACATACACTTCCTCCTTCTTCCCTCAGCAATGAGAGAGAATGGCTAATTTATTCAATCATGCCCCCAATCATTGTAACACTAATGCATGAAGTCACCATATTGCAGAATGGCATAAATGAACATTGCATTGCCTTTCATTTCAAATTGTCTGGGAATATAGAACAAGAATAGTATTGAACATGCTGAAAAGGCTAGCTAAATTTATAATTCTTTTGTGTCAAGAAACTCGCTTATCTTATTTTATGTTATTAGTAGAGGCAAGCAGTGGTAGGGAAAGTCACCTGGTTGGCCAGGATTTTTTTGCTTCTAATTAGAATCCTACTCTGAATCGGGAACCTTTTATATTAATCAAAAACTATTCAAACATTTTAAAAATCCTTTTGTAATATCTTGTTTAATTTTGTTACCCTTCTCTTAGAATTAAAGCAGAGACTAGGTGTTGTAGTAGATAGTGAATAATGGTTAGGTGTTTAGCTTGGGCTTACTTACACAAGGTATTGATCTCTGATTTTGCGTAACTGGATAAGATCAGGTTTGATACTGTTCATTTTCTTGTCTGTTTCTCGGTTGTCCAGGGCTTGCTTCTTCAAATCTTGTTCCAGTCGTATCTTACTATCATGAATCTCACCCAGGCGTAATTTCAATTTTTCATAATTTATCATAATCCTATAAAACAAAATCTAGTGTTTTTAAAAGTTAAAAATACACTTCTCAAACTAAAATATTAAGTTCTGGTTTTAAAAGTATGCACATATTTTATCCATAATTATATAGCACCCAAGTCAATAGCATGCACTCCACAGAATAATTCTTGTCCAACTTGAAAACATCCCATTTCCAGTTCCTCCTTTTTTTTAAAAAAAAAAAAGCTTTAAAGTTTTATTAATAGTACATACTTGTGTCAACCTCAATCAGCTAAATTATCTTCATTATATCAGAAAAAATCTTTATGGTGTCTAGAATGTACCTATATCCCTACAAACTGCTTTGATGTGTCTTAGGGGATAGAAGTGATGCGACTGAAGACAGAATTCTGATCTCAGAGGGAACCACTGAGGTTTCTTCTTGCCTTTTTGCCAGCCTCCAATGCTGGGTCTTTGACAAGATGAAATATCTTGATCCAGGAAAGTCCTAGCACAAATATGAAAGTGGGCTGAGAATATAATGCTAAGCCTGATGTAGAGATCATAGAGAATATCTTTGAAAGACAGTGGAAGGATCCATGACCAAGCTAATGATCAGATGAGCACAGAGACTTTTCCAAGAAACAGCGGCTTACACTTGTCCCCCCAGCTTTCAAACATTCATATTACCAAGCGCGGGCTTTTTTTCTCCTTAGTCTGACCATTTCCTTCTTTCAGATAACATTTAAATGATATTGTGAGGAAGATAAATGACATGCTTTATAAAAATGATTTTGGCATATGGTATCAGAATCTGAACTAAAAGGAAATTCAGTTATATAATTGAATATTCTTCTGCTGCTATAATTATACCTTTAGAGTATGTAAAAACTTCATTCAACACGAATGTGTTGTTAAATTTTCCTGCTTGGTTGTATCTCTGTCTGTCCTGTAAAGATTCTGCTGACTTCAAACAGCATAATTAAGTTTTTTTAAATTACAATTATTATTTTTATAATGAAGAATTATTTAAATTATTTATATATACCTGAACTGTTTGTCCCTTAATTCAGAAAATGGAAATTCAAAGTATTTTTGTAAAGACTGTATGTTAAAACCATTAAGCTTTCTGAACTCAACAGAACATTCCTTCATAGCTGGAAACCGCATACTTATGTAATGACTCCAGATTAGTTATTTAGGTACTGTTTAATATTTAATGCAGCTCCTTCAGAGCGGAGTGAGAACAATTAAACAATTTTGGGCTGACAATGTAATTACCATGCTGAACTAAATATTATTAGTAGGTATAGTATTTGGTAGACTTACCGTTCAATTTCTTTCTCATTCCCTTCTCTTCGAAATCGTTCAATGTATTCTTTGCTATACCGTTCTTGGGTGTGGCACTGCTCTTCAAATATTTTAATTGTTTCATTAAAAGCTTCTATTGCTGTCCTCTTCATTTGAATTTCCTGCACAAAGCAGTCCATTTAAAATATGATAGTTTACAACCAGAAGCATAAAGCTATTAGAATGACTCTTATGTATTACCATTATATGAAAATACAACACACTAGTAATATAGGGGGCAACATTTACAAAATTCAAACTTTTTTAACACTTAAAATTTTGTTAAAATTGATTCAAATCCAGATTTGTTACCTTACATGATGAAAAAAGCAACAATTTGAGTAAAGAAATTAAAGTGGCCTCAACCATGAAGAACCAAGCCCCCAAAATCAAATATGAACCCTCCAGCTCTAGATCTTAATGTAGAAGCACAAGAGAGTTTAAGGAGGGAAATTTTTCTCCTGAATGTACCAATCTGGGAGGTTTTTTTAAAATAAAGAAATAAAGAAGTAGTTCGTAATATTCCAGATGTGATTGTATCTCAAAATGTCTACCACATGTGAAAATGCTTTCTGTTCCAGAAGGTTTATTGCCAAAAATAGGAACCATCCTGTAATTCTTGCATTCTGCAAGAATAGTCCACACCTGGAACATAGAGATTGCATATCCATGATGTTGTAATCTCAGTTTAGAGGGAGTGTAAAATTCTGTAAAGGTACAACTATACATAACTACAAATACAGCAGGCTTGGTTTAAATAACAAATTTTAATTTCACATTGGCCTCTGATATGTAGTAAAATGTAAATCAACTTGCAATATACCTGTGATGTTCTGGTATATTCTTCATATAATCTGTCATATTCTTTACTTTTCTCTTGATATTGAGTGTGGTATTCCTGAAGCTTTTTGCCCACAGCATCAATATTATCTTCTTTTACCAACTGATCCTGCATACATCAGAGCAGAAAATAGATACATTTTTTTACGAAAGAAATTCAGATGCTGCTTTTGGTGCATAACTACCTCGGGGAAAACACATAAATCGTCTTAATCTTATAGAACAAATTCTTTTCAATTACCAACATTCCTCCACCCAGATTTTAAATGCTGATTGTTCCAATTACGAAGGAAATCTATACATCTAAAGATGATATAGTTTTTGGACCTTTTCAGAGATCAACTTTTTTAGGATAAATGTCCAACACCAACTTCTTCATTAACTGTTTAATCTCACTACAAACCATGCTAGGTTTTCATCAATGAAACTGGGTCTTTTTTTTTCTTAAAAAAAGATATCAAATACAATTTTTATGGTAAGTAGATAAAATTATAATCTGTTCATCTTACTTTTGCATCAAGATTCATTTAGATACACTTTTTAAAAACTTGATGTGAAATTATATTAGATGAACAGATCTCAACCATTATAGTTTAAAAATGATGCCAAAGAATTGATATACATGGTGCAAAGATAAATTCTTGTTAAGAAGTCTAAAAAGCACCTGAATTTATTTATGTTTAAATAGTAAACTTTTATTTTTACATTAGATACTTAATGAAAAGGGTACTCTAAAGTAAAAGCTGTTGAAACAATTGTATTTTAGCTGTGGTAAATTAAAGTATTTAAATAGGAGTAGAAAAATTGTTCAGAGCCTATTTTTCCACAAACATTCAATGAGTTCCACCTATATGCTCTTTGAAAACTTACCTGCTGATATTTAGACACAGGATACATCAGCTTCACATCAAGTTTAGGATTATACTGCGCAAGAGATTCATGATGATAGTGGTTGATCAATTCCACAACAGAATTAAATGTCAGTGGATCAGAAAAGCCATATTTCCCATCCATATGATATATTTTTATTAATTTATTATTGCCACCCTTCCTAGAAGGTAGATAATAATCATCATCAGGTACATAGCACATTGCGTTGATGATGTATACAAATCATAAGATACTTTATGCTAAAATAGAACACCAAATAGAACAATCCCTGCAATATTATTTTGCACCGTAAATTTTCATTTTTGTCTGTAACATTTCATTCATTTCTTTAATATTAATGCTTAAAAATCATATAAAAATGCATCCTAAGTAGAGCTACACCCAAACCTCATTAAGAACACCATGCTTAATAAAAGCTTTAAATTAAAATTTGGTAGAGGGAATTTTTTATGAATGTATAGAAAACATTATTCTTTCAGCCTGAGAAAATTTGTAAGGCATGATTTGGCTTCCCCTAATTTTATAGTCAAATGTTCTACAGAACTACAAGGAAAATAGTTAGCTGGCCTCAAATATATTGCAAACATTTGTATATCTGTGTTGCTATAGACAAATAAACAAATTCTTCTGGATTCAATATATTAAAACAATTGGTAGGGTGAACCTGGAAAATTCAGTCCTTTCCATTTCCAGATATTATTTTACTGTAATGTACTTTTCTTGAAGAATTAGTATCTCAAAAACAGCTGAGATAAATATGAGAATGTAATTCTCAATAGTTTTTAATCATGTGACTGTTGCACATATACATGTAACAAAACTAAAAATATTAATGGCCTGTCAAGAAAGTGTTTGAAGCAGAGAGCAGAAGCAAGCCTTTAGCTTTTGCATTCTTTTTTTAGACCTATCCTGCATTTACTAAAAAACCCCCCAGCTGCCATTAATTTTCAGAAAGCAAAATAAAACACTGTAAAATAAAAAGAAATGAAGAAAAAACAAGTATTTTTTTTAATAAAATAGTCACAAATAGGAATCCCATAAGACAGATCTAAATTTAAGAGAGTAAGTCACCCAAGATTAGGAATTAAATACAAGAGACAACGATTCAATCCAAAACAATACTCCTTGCTTATCTATAATCAAAATAACCTTTGATTTGAGTTTGACTTGGTTTGAGAAACAGTTTGAAGTAGTGACTAAGGCATCAGCTAGAAACTGGGACACCGTGAATTCTAGTCCTGCCTTGGGCAAAAGGCCAGCAGGGTGAACTTGGGCTAGTTATTTTTTTCTCAGCCCTTGGAAAAGGGCACTGGCAAACCACTTCTGAAAATTTTGCCAAGAAAACTGCAGGGATTTATTCAGGCCATCTTTGAGAATTGTTCATAACTGAACGGACGAATTTCTTTTTTAAAAAAGGCATTGCTTGTTACCTGGCTATAGCAGTAGCATATATGAAAGAAAAAAGTAGTCCTCGACTTATTACTACAATTGAGCCCAAAATTTCTGTTGTCAAACAAGTCTGTTGTTTTGCCTCACTTTAAAACCTTTCTTGCCACAATTGTTAAGTGGGTTGCTGGAATTGTTAAGTCAGTGACACAGTTGTTAAATGAATCTGGCTCCCCATTGACTTTACTGTCAAAAGGTCACTTGTGCCATTGTAACTTTGAGTAGTCACTAAATGAATAGTTGCAAGGCAAGGACTACCTATATGTGAGAGATATCAAGAGACTGGAAGTATATAAAAGACTGAGAAATTTCACCTCTTCCTTTCTCCTGTATGTTTAACATTTTGTGAAGTCAATTTGAGTCTCATCGGCTTGAGGTTGACTCAGCCTTCCATCCTTCTGAGGTGGGTAAAATGAGGACCCAGATTGTTGGGGGCAATATGCTGACTCTGTAAGCCACTTAGAGAGGGCTGTAAAGCACTGTGAAGCGGTGTACAAGTTTAAGTGCTATTGCTATCATGTTAGTTATTCCAAGGAAAGGCAAGTATTATTATTACTATTAAAGAAAACCTTCATATATTCTTGCTTATTTCGAGATCTTTAGTTTGCCTTCAGATAACTGTCTGGTAGAAAAGAAAAGGTTTGCATAACAACTATAGGGAAACTGCTAAGGATAATTATAACAACCAAGACAATGAAAAGGACCTCTGCAGTACTCAAAAGCAACTCAAATCCTGACAATCCTATTTTTAATTCAGACTTCTGATATCCTTTGAAGCTACTCTGAAACCATCACCTCCAGAACCTGGTTTTATAGAGAAAGAAAAAAGTCCTAGGCTGCCAATTTCCATACAGTTTGCAAATGCTCTGGCACAGATGATGCTACTCTTTCGTATTATGCGGCACTTTTATAGCCTAGCACATACAGTACATAAAAGAACATTCTAGGATAATAAAGAATATTTACCATTCACATTCACTGGTTTCAATACATCAGTTTACTAGCAAGCACTAAACAGAACTTTAGAACAGACGGGACAACTTATTTACCGGAGTGTGAGTGTATAGTCTCCCTGTTTCTTTGTTGATGCATCTCGCACCAAGAATGTTCCATCAGGCATGTCTCGGAGTTTGTCATTTACTTCTTCTCTGGAAGTATAAAAAGTAAATAAAATACATTTACTTTTACTTTTAATGGGATCCCATCATAATAGCAATGTTAATTGCTAAAACATCTATCGTACTCTTGTTTTGTTTCCTTCTAAAACAATTACACATTTCCTACTTAGAACTTTCAGAACACTGTTGCCTAAAATAGTTTGCGGTCAATTTTTAGAATGTACTTATATGGTCTGCAGCTTTAATAAAACTTTTTTTAAAAAAAAGCTAATATTTGAATGTGTTACTTCTGATTAGTTATAGCTACTGATTAGTGCAGTAACTAAGGATTGCTTCACATCAGATTATTTACTGTTGATACTTTTAATCAGCTGAATCCAAAGACAATTTTACATTATTTAAATGTATTCAGTGTATCAACTTTTGTTTTGTAACTGATTATTTTCTGAACATATACTTGGTTATAATAAATTATTAAGATGCATGGGACTTTAAATAATAAGTCTATTTTTTGTTGTTTTTATGAACCAATTTTAGAAAATTGCAAAATCAATGATTTGAAGAATGACACTGATATGTGGCGGTTACTGGGCAAAAAGGATTTTTTTAAAAATGAAATGAAAGGAGATATGCAAACTCTTTATTGATAATCACAATATTTCTAATTTGCACAATAATGGTTGCAATGTGACTATAATTGGAACTGTAGCTCTGCCAGTGGAAAAGCATTGCTACACCCCTGCCACCTCTCTAAGAGTGCACTGTACATGACCTACTGAATCATATACTCTGCATTATCTAATCAATACTTTCCCCCCGATTCTTTTTAAAATTGGATAGTTGCATTCAATGCAAAAAACTTTAAGATCAAATTCACTTGAAATTAGGCTACTCTAGACATTTGATTTTAATGTAAAATCAGTTTATACTTACAAAAATATAGTTTTTAAAAATTAAAGTGTCCATTTCTTGATTTCATTATGGTTTAACAAGTAGCAAAATTGTAATTTTAACACTGAGTAAAAAAAACTTTTCACTAAGCTTAGTATCTTCACAATACTATCTACATAACTGCATATTATTTAATATTCTTTACCTTGAGATGTCTCCCCAGTACCATTCTGCTTCCTGCAATGACGAGCTGCAGTTCTCTTTTATCTCATTTGTATTTATAGGAGTTATTGATTTGGAAGGCTTTGGAGGAAGAGCTGAAAGAGAAATTTGGTCTATTATTTCTTACTGCATAGTACCATCTAAAAATATTAAAGAGAGGATTCAAGTGGGAATAAGAACACTTAAGAACACAATTGTTAATAACATTCAAGAACTAATGTCCTTCCTGAAATTACAATACTTTTTATTTAGCTGTTATTTGATTACACATAAAACTATTTCATCTGCAAATTTTATTCTGGAATTAGGTAGCGCTTGAATTAAATAAATTACATTAATATATTTGCCATAACACAACATACAATTATCTTGCATTTTGAGTTCAATCAGTTGTTACATATAGCCAGTTAAAAGGCTCTGTCGCTCTGAGTATGTATGTTGAAATGGAAGAAGCACTGTATGATAAAATGGGGCTAAGACTCAGGATATAACATATTGATGGAACAGTGGGGGAACATGTGCCTAGAAAGACTGAAATTTACATTATTATAATTTAAAAGAGAACTTTTATAAAATTATATGCCGTTAGTTGATTCCAGAAAAATTGTCTCAAATGTATAAAGGTACTTCACATTTATGTTGGAAATGTGGACAGTAAGAAGAGTCATTTTATGATGACTGGTAGTTAAAAAGCCAGAAATTTTTGGACTCAAATACATATAATGATACAAAGAATTTTAAAGATCAACGTTCAACTGAAACCAGAACTTCTCTGGCTGGGATTAATGGAAAGCCAATTAAAAAAGAGCTGTGGAAAATTATTTAATATGCATGCATGCTTGCATACACACACACACACACACACACACACACACACACACACACACACCCCTATCTTCTGGATTCAGGTCTGTTCTCTCTGACCTCAAAAACATACATGATTACATTTGACTAATCCCCAGATAGAAAAATTAACAAAAAATACCAGATATGAAAAGGCAATTGCAAATCACATTTGTATCACTGCCAAGAAAACTAACTGGACATATCCATGAAGTCATTGGGAGCTAAGTTTGACTGAAGGGAGACACAATTTTAGGAGTGATGAACCACGTCTTTTCAATACAGTACTGGGAAAAAGAAAAATTTATGCAAACCATTAAAGATCTCATATAAAATATTTCCTAAATCCTTTCCCACAAATGTTTAGTACTATGTAATATATTGCACAAAATAAGAGCTGTATTTAGTTTCAGGAGTATATTTTGTATAAAACATGCAAGATCTGCATCCTAAGGAACTTGATAGTATACTGCCAAAAACACATGGTTTGGATGCATAAAGCTCCTGACATTTCCATTTAAAATTACCCTATCCAAACTGGGTCAGGGAATTTTCTTTTAAGAAAAACAGAAAGCCTATGAGAAACAATGTCCCTTGATGCTTTCAATACAGCTATGTATGTTCATAAGCAGGAAAAGTAAATCCTAATGTAAATCCCAAGTAAATCCCACACTAATATTGCTAAAGGGAAAACAAATAACAACGCTGAGGTCAAACTGCATGCTAATATTTTAAAATTTTCATGTAAAAACAGCAAATTTATTCTCTTTTACTCCAGAAGGCAGAAAACAAACCAATAAACTCAAGTCCTAAAACATTTGAGTTTTCAACTAAATTTCAAAAAATACTTTTTAGCAGCAGCTATTCAAAAGTGGAATCAATTATCTGAAAGCTGGTGGACTTGCCTTGTTAAAATTTTGTATCCTTTGTTTAGAGATTAACTTTGTTCCAGTGGACTAGACCTCTGAGGCTCTTTCCAGCTTCATGTTTCTAAATGTTTCCTATCCCAAAATATGTTTCAAAACTTGACTTGAAGAGTGAAAACAAGTATCTTTATTAGCCATGTTGATGATAGTTAGTAGATAGGCGTAACAGAAGGTTTAGAAAAGGTTTGGAATGAATTCCTATATATTTAGAACAAGAGAGCAACAGGAACTGTGATAGTGTATAACTTTTCTAAACACCAACTTTAGTTGTTAGCATTGTATACCTATGGAGCAGTCCAATTACAGAAGATAATTTTGCAGATTCACAAGATGTCATTATATTTTTCAGATACATAAAATAACATATTTGAGCATTTTTGTCCCCATAAATTTAAAATAATTGATATGACAAATTTAGCATTCTTATTTTAATTTCTGTTCTGATCCTGAGATACCCAACAGATATCTGCTAGACACTAGGCTCACAAAAAGTACCATGCGATCAGTCATACTTTCAATCACAGTTCTGAAAATTCCAGAATTATGTATTACCAGGATATTATATTTAATTATATAATATATTTATATGTTATATAAATAGGGGATATTCGCATTAACTTTATATGAAACCATCATTATTTCACAGAATAAACTGTGAATATAAATATACAATATTTAAAGAAAAATTGCTTCATATGCTATCAATGGAGAGGACAGACTATAAATTACGAATATAAAACCAGGGTCTTAAGTAACAGAGAGGCAGATTTCTGTTGAATATTAGGAAAAATTAAACAGTAAGAGCACTTTAACAGTGGAAATCAATAACCAATAAGAATGTGAACTCCATTTCCCTAGATGTATTGAAACAGGCTAGACAGTTATGGGCACTTTTAATTGAATTTATGCACTGAACAAGGGCTAGACTTATTTGTTTAAATGGTCCCTTTCAGTTTTATGATTCCATGAAATAAACAATAGCATGCTAGGATACAGTTACTCTGAACTATGTCCTGCTGTAACTGGAAAGGGATTGAGAGAATTAAGAACAAAATATGCCAGTTGCAATTTACTACTTGCTGTACAAAGAATAATTTGCAAGTATACGAAATCATAATCTAAGCAGCCACATACGAAAACTGAGCTTGGCTCAATGGTCAGTGTAGATGCCAAATAACTAAGAAGACCAGAGCAGAAACCTCTCTCATAATCTTTTACAGCATCTGTTACAAATCCCAATGCAATGTACTGGATTTGTCTCTTTAGAAGGGTAAGAATACTTCCTGAGTTCTTTGCAGTTCATAAAGAGACAAAAGAACTTGTATGCTGCTAAAGGCAGCTTTATTGTTAGCAGGCTATTTTCATCCTAGGATAATCTGTGAGCTGCTCTGATTACCCTGGTGGGCTAAAAGCAGACGGCAATTTCATTTGAATATATTCATCCTTACAAAAAACAAAAACAAAAAACCCGAGAATGAAAAATAGAAACTAAAAAGACAAAGTTCATGCAACAAAAGAAAAAACTTCTAAGTAAACTAATATAGAGAAAGAGAAAACAAATGTATTTAAGAGGAAAAAATAAATATATTACTAAACCTTGACCTCATGGATGGACAACACTGAACCAAATCTGCTATAATATGAAAGAGAACATTCAGTCAGAATACATCCAAGTATAGATTGTGGAACATGGCATCAATTTTAAGTACCAACTATATGGATTACATTTAGAAAATGAAAGATAAAACATGTCCCAGAAAAATTTGAGCTGGAAGATACAGTACATAGTTGGAACTCATGGTCAGTATAAATAATGGGTTAAATATGCTTAATGAGTAAAAGAGACTCTAGGAGCTATATGTAGATATATTAGAAACAACAAAGTGAAAAAATATTCCCAAAATTTTAAACAGGAAAGAACTGAATGCATAGCAATTGAATGATGACTTTCAGTATCAAGCAAGAGAGCAATAAGAATGTATCTCAATCAAGAATGCAAAACAAGGAAAATAAAAATGAAAAATGTTTCAAAGGAATTATAGGAATATTTTCAGTATAGCCAAGACAGAATTATTAAAGAGTAATCATAATATTATCTAATAGAGGCCAAAAATATTAAAATAGCAACTCCTTTTTAAAAAAATACAGAAAAGTTAATACAGTAAAGGGAATATATTCATTAAACCACTCTACAGAAACCTGTATCATAGGCAATAAGCCAACTGACCTATAGGAAAGCATTAGGTGCTAAAAAAAAAAGTACCTGAACTTATTTTTATTGTTAAAAATTTAGGCAAAGAGGCAGCTAAATTGCTGGTAAGTCCAACAAATTTCAACAAATGTGAAATAATATTCTAGGACCTAGAAATGAAAAACTATCAGGGCATCCTAAAGGTCAACTATAGTCATCCTAAAGAACGGAGGCAAAAAAAACAACAACCTTGAAATTACTAACCTGTCCTAGTAATTTCTCACAGAACAAAGTTTTGCTTAAAATTTTAAAAAGAACAAAGGTATACAGGAAGACAGCAAAATGAATGGACAGGCAGTTTTCAGAAAAGATAGAGGGACATAAGATGCGATAACAAACATAAAATGGATAACAGAGGAAGGAAGAAAAGGTAAAAGAAAATTACCTTTACTTTATTGACTACAGCAAGGCTTTTGTGTAGATCATACCAGACAGAACGTGTCCTACATTACAGCTAATCAAAGTGTCCAAGATCCAATTATTCTTCTGAGGAAGCTTTACAATGTTCAAGAAAGCTACTTTAGGAATCGAATTGGGAGAATCAGGATAGTTGAGAATAAGGAATAGATTGAGAAAGAATGCACATTGTCCCCATATCTATTTAACTTGCACAGCAAATACATTTGAATAGAAGATGATGACTTGGACCAAAATATGAGACAAAAATGCTAACAATTTAGGATCTGAGATGACACCACTTTGTTAACTGAAAGTAAAGAAGCTTTAGAAGAGTTCAAAATAGAAATTGAAAAATCTGTGTTGGTGTTGAATGTTTTTTTAAAAAAACTATTTATTCAACTGCTAGTTGATGGCAAAGCTTGACATATATTTTAGTTTTCTTGGGATCAAGAAAAGATAGTGTGTATTGTGCTAGGAAAAATAAAGAGATTTACTACGGAGGAAGCAACAACTAATTAAGATATTACCATTTCTATGATCTCCATTCCACAAAAGACCCAAACGAGTGAAAGTAATGGTTATTCCAGTGAGAAATATAGAAATGTAAAATCAAAACTTTGAGAAAGAATGAGATGGAAAAGATGGTCACCTTCAACTTACAGATTTAGAGATGTTT